AATGATGAGTAATTTTGCTCCAAACACCATAGAGGCTATACTTTGCATCCAAAAAATTTACTTGCCCGATTGGAGGATATTTACTTGCCCGAACAGTACTTTTATTTGCCCTGGGCAAGTGGGCAATGGGACTTGTCCAACCCTGTTAAAACCCCTGGCAGTACCCAGGCTATAGGAAACAGGCTGCGTGCAGCTACAACAACTGTACTGTACATGTCCCAGACGGGAGATCTGAGGACTGTGGAAGTCGGAAATCGCTGCGGAGATTAGCCCGACCATCGGCCTGATCCCTGTGACCTTGGACTGGACAACATTCCAATTCTGGAAGAGAACAAGAAATAGCCATGCATTCAAGTACCAGAGTTATCAACCAAGGATTGAGGTGTTCAAGAATTCATTCTTTCCTAGAACTATCGCAGAGTGTCACTAAGTACAGTAGGGGCATTGTCAATAGATAGCTTTAAACAATGTCTACAGCTAGAAGTTCAAGGGTTAGGTGTAACAAGTCGATCGGTGTAATGTAGCCAGCTGCCGCCGCGCCGCGTGCCTGCGAAGCTGGTGTGTTACGCCGAAAGGCGGTTAAACCGGCTATACAGATACAGATACTGACAAATCTCCAAGCAGATTTACCGGCGGCATGACAGCGGGCAAAAATGCAAAAAAATGCAAAAAGCCGTGGATTAGATACTGACATAACGTCAAAATCGGTCTTTGGGTGTGATGATACGCACTTAGTCTTTTGGTAACTAATGCACAAGTTGTAATAACATATATATCTCGACAATATACGGCATAGGACCGCCACTACAAAACTCAGGATAAGCTGCCACAAACTACACATTGAAACCGGACGCCATAACCGCACTCCCCTAGAACAACGAATATGTAGGTATTGTAATCTAAATAGGATAGAGGATGAGGAACACTTTGTATTAGAATGTACTAGTAGTTTATACAACGAAGAGAGAGCAGAGCTTGGAGATTAGGTGGAGGCTCCCCTTTACTTTCCTGAGCGCGCTGTTGCCCCGTGCGAAGAACTCCCACTCCCTCCTCCTCCTGGGTGATTAGCATGTCCTTACCCGTGGTGCTCTACGGCGGGCGGATACGTCAGCATCACTTGACACAGTTGGCACGAAGGGCGTCCCGAGTAAGGAGCGCAGCGCCAGGCGAACTTCAGACTTGGCACAGAGTACAGCTCTCCCTCCAGCCGGTCAGTTCTGTGGATCTTTTATTCTTGTTCCGCAGCCAGGAAAAACTTGGACCGAGCGTGCCCAGGTGTGTGTGTGTTGGAAGTGAAGGAAAGGTGTGCAGCCAGCAGTCATGAGGATACAGAGAATACCGTCCCCGTGGCTCGCTGTCCTGGCGCTACTGGCTGCCGGGACGGCGGTGGTACGGGCGCAGGGTCCGTGCGGGCCGTCGCAGTTCGAGTGTCGCGACGGGTCTTGCATCGAGTCGGTCCTGCAGTGCGACGACACGCCGGACTGCCCGGACGAGAGCGACGAAGAAAACTGCGGTGAGTCTCTTTATACTATAGCTTTCAACATTGTCCGCCACGTGTGCTGCTGCGCGGAGATACGATAGATGCAAGTTATTCATTATAGCAACAGCGATTTGTCTCTTGACAAGTCTTCCAGCTTTCTTCTGCATACTCCATATGGAGCCGCTTACAGCAGGCTTTTAGCGCGTGTGTTCTAATTTCATTTCAGTGTGATGTAAAAATCGGCCGGGGAATAATTACATCTTGTTTGCGCTGTGCTGGCCGCTCTGCCGGCGGTATTTGGTACACCAGTGTCACAGTCTTTGCATAACTCTGCTGTTTCTTTCCCGGCCGGCCCGACTCTAGAGAGGCCAGGCTGCTCCAATTATTATGAAACGCAGACCCGGCTAGCTAGCTAGCTAGCGGTTTCCGCCACGACAGGAACGGAAGGCCGCAAAATGACAACGTGCGGCGGGGGTAAACATTCGGACGGATCGCCGACATCTATCAACATTTCCTCGCAGTTCAGCGCGAGGAAATCCGCCTGACCCCAGCCCGACTTCTTCTTGCTTCCTTTCCTTTCTTCCCGTTTGATCCCCACACGATACACTCGGCGCGTCGGTCCTTAATTTCTTCTTCAAACTTGGCTGCGGTTCGTGGCGGGCGGCCTGACGAGCCTAGTACTGCCGTGTCTGGGACCGTAGTTGGATCCAGATGGGAGGGAAACGGCCACGAAAAAAAAAGAAGAGAAGACCTCAAACTAAAAAGGAAGCAGTCCGACTTGTCCGACACCGCCTCGCCTCACGCGATTCGTCCGGAAAGTTGGCGAACAGGCAACATTTCTAGAGTATTCCAAGTTGTATAGAAATGGGCCAATAGCCGCAATCAGCTAGCGTGCACAGCCGACTTGGACCCTAACACCTAACAGCTATACCGGCCAGAAACGTGCCAGTTTCGGAAGTTTTGCAGGTTGTTAGACAAATATGCATGGCAACAGAAACACGTGTTACGTCACATCCATCCTCCCCTGAGAGTCGGTATTACCCAGTGTGTAGCCTGTACCAGAGTAGCCTCTACCAGGCTTCAGAAGTGGCTGGAAAGAGTAGAAAATGATCAGGCTGACCAAGGAGGATTGATTTTTCAACCTCTTTTAAGTTAAATAGACAGATAACATGCCACGGGGAGTTCGCCCACGTGTACTCCTTTAGCGGACCAACTCCCCCGGCATGTTATCTGTCTTCCTGGCCAATTTCGTCTCTTTCCAGCCGCTTCTTGAAGCCTGGTAGAGGCTACCCAGGTGTGAGCTTGAGCAGACAAATTTCCGTACATCCGTCTTCACTCCCAGGTGTTTGTTTAGCGACTATCGGCCCCTCTTGGACTTCTAAACAATGCATTTTCGCCCGTNAGCTAGCATATATAATAATGGCCCTGGCAACAGTCTAACACCCAGGCTAGCCCTGGAGTCGAGAAGCTAACCTGTGTATACTACCCCCAGGGTTGGACAAGTTTCAAAAATCCACTTGCCCTATTTCCACTTGGCCGAACCAACTTAACACTTGCCCAAAATTTACATTCTTATATGGATTTTTACTACCAGCAAGGTAACTTTGAGACTTGCAATGAATTTTCTGACAAAAGGGCATTAATACAATATCATTATGGCAAAATGATGAGTAATTTTGCTCCAAACACCATAGAGGCTATACTTTGCATCCAAAAAATTTACTTGCCCAATCGGGCAAGTACAGGAGGATATTTACTTGCCCGAACAGTACTTTTATTTGCCCTGGGCAAGTGGGCAATAGGACTTGTCCAACCCTGTTAAAACCCCTGGCAGTACCCAGGCTATAGGAAACAGGCTGCGTGTAGCTACAACAACTGTACTGTACATGTCCCAGACGGGAGATCTGAGGACTCTGGAAGTCGGAAATCGCTGCGGAGATTAGCCCGACCATCGGCCTGATCCCTGTGACCTTGGACTGGACAACATTCCAATTCTGACAAATCTCCAAGCAGATTTACCGGTGGCATGACAGTGGGCAAAAAAAAATGCAACAAGTAAAATCTGAGATTTTATACCTCCGGGCTTTTTATTGTATACTAGTATTTTTCCATGTTGTTTGTTCTGTATAGTTGATGGTGTTGAATTTTATGTGTTAGATTTAGCGTTCCTGGTTGTGTTAATACAGGACTGGTCAACATTTTCATCTGCAGCCCATACCATGTACCCACGGTAAAAATGCATGTCGAGAACGTCCGAGACAGTATACCACGGTATTTGTAAGTTAAGAAGTCGTACTATACGCCGAAAACATCCAAGATTGCGCAAGAGGGCGTTGACCCCTGACCCATTGGCCCACCCGGAAGTTGCGCTGGCAGCCAGCCCAGCGCCGCGCGCGACCATTTTCAGATTTTTACGCCCCAAAACACATATACAATAAAAACAAAAAAACCTGCACCATCTACAGCCCATTAGAAGAACATACACCGAGTCCAGTCTACCCCAACGCGAGATACAACTGCGATAATATTTCAAAATACATATCGGAAGCAGACACCCCTCTGTTTGACCCCTTTTAAATGGTAAGACCCAAAACTGAAACCTCCCCATTCCTTAACAACATGGTAAATTCCATTTTCAGCATGGCGGGGGTGTCCGGAGCACTTAAAAACCTTTTATTTCGACGCCCATAAACACATATACAATTAAACAAAAACGTTCTGCATCATCTGCAGCCCAACAGCAATACGTACACCGAACAACAGACCAATCCGTCCAGCCGATCGCGAGAAACAGCTGCTGACAGAAATGTTTCGAACAATAGTAAAACCTCCTCGCGGAAGGATGTCTCCTTCCCCGGAGGTAAAAAGCCGTGGATTAGATACTGACATGCCCTTTACTTACTGGCCTCTACCAGGTTTCGGAAGGCGGCTGGAAAAAGTAGAAATCGGCCTAATAGAGAGATAGCTTTCCAAGAGAGAACAGTTTGCCGCTCTCTCCAGCCGACCAAACTCCCTTGGCATGCTATCTCTCTATTAGACCGATTTCTACTTTTTCCACCCGCCTCCCGAAGCCTGGTAGAGGCTCCCCTTTACTTCCCTCAGCGCGCTGTTGCCCTAGCCTCCACCAGGCCTTTCTACGGGAATACGGATCGTTCTTCTTGGGGTGTATAGGGTGTCAGAGAGGGGTAGCACCTCTTACGAATGGGCAGTCGTGCTCTGTAGACTAGACCCGTAGAATAGTCTGTAGAGTAGTCCACCCGTAATTGGACCTCATCGTAGAATTCGGCAAAAAAGAGAATCAAATTGGCCAAGGGAGTCCGGCCGCGGGGAGGTAGTTTCGTTCCCTCCGAAGTCAAACCTCAAGGCGGCAAAACTCCCCCGGCAAATATTCTGCTATATTATTATATATATAGCCAGCGTAGTTAGACTGGACTACTGTTGCCCCGTGCGAAGAACTCCCACTCTCCCTCCTCCTCCTGGGTGATTAGCATGTCCTTACCCGTGGTGCTCTACGGCGGGCGGATACGTCAGCATCACTTGACACAGTTGGCACGAAGGGCGTCCCGAGTAAGGAGCGCAGCGCCAGGCGAACTTCAGACTTGGCACAGAGTACAGCTCTCCCTCCAGCCGGTCAGTCTGTGGATCTTTTATTCTTGTTCCGCAGCCAGGAAAAACTTGGACCGAGCGTGCCCAGGTGTGTGTGTGTGTTGGAAGTGAAGGAAAGGTGTGCAGCAGTCATGAGGATACAGAGAATACCGTCCCTGTGGCTCGCTGTCCTGGCGCTACTGGCGGCCGGGACGGCGGTGGTACGGGCGCAGGGTCCGTGCGGGCCGTCGCAGTTCGAGTGTCGCGACGGGTCTTGCATCGAGTCCGTCCTGCAGTGCGACGACACGCCGGACTGCCCGGACGAGAGCGACGAAGAAAACTGCGGTGAGTCTCTTTATACTATAGCTTTCAACATTGTCCGCCACGTGTGCTGCTGCGCGGAGATACGATAGATGCAAGTTATTCATTATAGCAACAGCGATTTGTCTCTTGACAAGTCTTCCAGCTTTCTTCTGCATACTCCATATGGAGCCGTTTACAGCCAGCTTTTAGCGTGTGTGTTCTAATTTCATTTCAGTGTGATGTAAAAATCGGCCGGGGAATAATTACATCTTGTTTGCGCTGTGCTGGCCGGTCTGCCGCCGGTATTTGGTACACCAGTGTCACAGTCTTTGCATAACTCTGCTGTTTCTTTCCCGGCCGGCCCGACTCTAGAGAGGCCAGGCTGCTCCAATTATTCTGAAACGCAGACCCGGCTAGCTAGCTAGCTAGCGGTTTCCGCCACGACAGGAACGGAAGGCCGCAAAATGACAACGTGCGGCGGGGGTAAACATTCGGACGGATCGCCGACATCTATCAACATTTCCTCACAGTTCAGCGCGAGGAAATCCGCCTGACCCCAGCCCGACTTCTTCTTGCTTCCTTTCTTTTCTTCCCGTTTGATCCCGATATGATACACTCGGCGCGTCGGTCCTTAATTTCTTCTTCAAACTTGGCTGCGGTTCGTGGCGGGCGGCCTGACGAGCCTAGTACTGCCGTGTCTGGGACCGTAGTTGGATCCAGATGGGAGGGAAACGGCCACGAAAAAAAAAGAAGAGAAGACCTCAAACTAAAAAGGAAGCAGTCCGACTTGTCCGACACCGCCTCGCCTCACGCGATTCGTTCGGAAAGTTGGCGAACATGCAAAATTTCTAGAGTATTTCAAGTTGTATAGAAATGGACCAATAGCCGCCATCAGCTAGCGTGCACAGCCGACTTGGACCCTAACACCAAACAGCTACATGTATACCGGCCAGAAACGTGCCAGTTTCGGAAGTTTTGCAGGTTGTTAGACAAATATGCATGGACACAGAAACACGTGTTACGTCACATCCATCCTCCCATGAGAGTCGGTATTACCCCAGTGTGTAGCCTGTACCAGAGTAGCCTCTACCAGGCTTCAGAAGTGGCTGGAAAGAGTAGAAAATGATCAGGCTGACCAAGGAGGATTGATTTTTCAACCTCTTTTAAGTTAAATAGACAGATAACATGCCATGGGGAGTTCGCCCACGTGTACTCCTTTAGCGGACCAACTCCCCCGGCATGTTATCTGTCTTCCTGGCCAATTTCGTCTCTTTCCAGCCGCTTCTTGAAGCCTGTTAGAGGCTACCCAGGTGTGAGCTTGAGCAGACAAATTTTCGTACATCCGTCTTCACTCCCAGGTGTTTGTTTAGCGACTATCGGCCCCTCTTGGACTTCTAAACAATGCATTTTCGCCCGTGTCAAAGAAAACATACACAAACGCCCGGCGCGATAATTGATGAGAGGGCCACAGCAGGGAGGATAGTCTCGCTCTCGGGCCATGTATACAGACAACAGATAATGTAGCCTTTAATTAGGGCAGTCTCTTTCCAAATCCGCTGATTGTTCTTTTTAAAGTAAGTTGGCTTTAATTACAGGAGAGATAGCCTCGCACCACCAGGCCTCGCAGTAAGAAAAGACAAGGAAGCAGTCTTGTTTAATAGCCTGGGTAGTGGGTACCAGTCCTAGTTGCTTCTCTGCGGCTTCCATACTCTAGCCTGGTTGCCGGACCTACAGTATTTTGGCTCTCGAGTCTGGTAACCAGGCTACCCATTCTCTCCTCTTTTCGAGAGGAGAAAGAACAGTTCATAAGAGCAAGGAGTTTCTTTAACCTCCTTGGTAAAATGCCAAGCTTGGAAGCCACAGAATAAGAACTAGGATGGCAGCCAGGCTATTCTTGTTCTCTTGTCTTGTCTTGTCAAGCTGTAAACTGTTTAAATTTTACATTCCGCGAGGCCAGTGCTAATCTACAGCAGATAAAATGCGCATCCTGCAAGCTAAATTATGATTCATCAGAGATAAGCTCGCTCCCAGGCCGCCCATGGCGGACACATGTACTAGCTAGAGAACAACATGGTAGTCTCGCTCCCAGGCTCATTCACATTCACCGCCGGCAAACGATGCATGATCCAAATCCCTATGCATTCCTTGCATTTAAGTAAGAACACGGGCGATAAATCGCAACATTCCAACTTTACAGTGTGGTAGAACCAAGGGCGTTACTAGTATATCAAGGAAGACCTTAGTAGAAAGAACCAAATCACACACGAAGAAGCCAATGCGGCCGGTCTGTCGTTTTGTTGTGCCAATACAATTAGGAAGCGACGTGTGCTAGCTTTGCGTGTTTGTTTTTGGCCGGTGAAAAGCCGGTTGTACATGTTACCCCGCGGTCTCCACGGGGGCCTTAGCCTCCGTAGCAGGCTTACAGAACTGGGGGTTTGGTGGGCTTCGGCTGTTTTCTGATTAGCAAAAACGGGGGTAATTCAACCAGGCCGGCTATGTTGTCTATATCCAATCGGGAAAATAGTACATAAAAGCTCCCAAAGACCCTGAAGACCCCCAGTTTTTGGCATGGTATGGAGGTTAGTCGGGGCTGAGGTATGACTTCTATGAGCGGTGCCGATAGGCGATCTGCGGTTCGGGTCTGTGCGACAGCTGTGCGCGGCCTGCCAGCGGCACGGGTAATGAATTTGTATGGATGCCGTCCTGTATTCTCCAATGCAAATTATTCAGGGTGGCAAAACAGAAGATACATGTACTGCCATCAATTTCTTAGCACATTTTTGTCATCATTTCATACCTTCGTTGAAGCTTTTGAATAGCCCCAAAACAAACAAACAAGCTACTAGTATGCGAGGCGTCTCTTTATTTTATAGGTACCACCCATAAATAGCTAGAACCAGCCAACGGTACAAAACAAGCATTTTTGCATCAGTATTCTGTGGGATAGGACTGATTTAACTGACTAACTTAAGATAATGACCAGAAAAAAGTTTTTCATCATTACACGGATCAAGGAGGTTTATAGTCTGGGTTCCAAACCCATAGCACACTGGACACAAAAAGATTATCTGATATTTTGTGTCCAGTGTGCTATGGGTCTGGAACCCCGGCTAGGAGGTTTAAAATAGACACGGACCTTGCATGGACAAGAAAAAGTACCGACGTTATTTGGTAATTTTGTAACGTCGTTTTACAATGATATCACAATCGTAAATTTTACAACGGAACTAGTTTTCAAATTTGACGCCAAATGAGTACAATCAAGGAGATCAAAACCTCCTTGGTACAATTTACAAAGATTTCAAAATAGACGATATTTCGGCATAATTTGTAACTTGAGAAGACGTCATCCACGGCACAAAAACTCATCAAGATAGCGTATCACCCGACATGCCCTAAGCGGGCCGTCGAGCCTGCTTGGCGCCTCAGATCTAGCGCTCGGGGAGAGAGCGCAGTTTCCTTATAAAGTTTATCGTACTCGGATACATGTCTTCGCTTTGATACATGTTTACGCTACATATCGTGACAATTCTTGCCACACGTCCACATGGCGATAAAGTCAGGTCCGCCAGGGCGATGCTTACATGTTGGAATAGCGCTGATTTGTCACAAATTATCACTAGTGTAAACTGTGACTGCTGGATACATATTCACAGTTTACAGAGAGACTGGCGATAATTGGCCCCACGCATTAACACATCATCGGCACACCCCGGGGATTCGGGAGGCCTCCGGGTCAGGAAATCGTGTAGTGGGAAGATAGGCTCTACCAGGCTTCGGGAGGCGGCTAGAAAGAGTAGAATGAATGAATTAATTGACTAATTAATTTTTACGTGTCTTGCGACCTTTGTCACCCAGCCCATATGGGCTTATAAGTTATAAGACACCAGAACATGAACATGAACATAAACGTAGGTACAGAAATCATAGAAACATGATAAATCCAAGTCCGAATCAAAAGGTCAGACTGGAAACACCAAAGAACTTAATACAAAGTTGTACATAACATAATCGGTACATAAGGGGCAAAAGTGCACAAAGTCAACTCAAATTGTCAAAAGTACATAAGTGCAACTCAGAGTCAGAAGTACATAAAGTCAAATGAACCGCCCCCTGAAGCCTGGTAGAGGCTAGAATCGGTAGGCCTCCGGGTCAGGAAATCGTGTAGTGGGCGGAAGACGAACGTAAATCAGGAGAAAATTGTTTACCCCAACATCGTGATCAGCTGATGCTATCTCCTATACAAATTTTCCGTACAAGATATCTCCTTGGCCATTCCTTCCAAGGACGTTCTTGGTCATTCTGACAGCGAGGCATTCTCGTCTTGCACGCAGACGGACGTAAATCGGGTAAAATTGTTTACCCTAAGATCGTAATCAGTTGATATTTATCACTTGTTATCAGCTATGAAAACTTTCTGTACAAGATATCTCCTCGCTCATTCTGACAGCGCAAGACATCCTCGCTTTGCACGGTCTGTGTACAAAATATAATACAATATGCATTAGCCACCTGGGTAGCCTTATAACTTTATAACACATCAAAATTGGAGATATCACATTTGCATTTGTACAGAAATGTATACTTTTAAAACTTGATCAACCGAAGACTTACTATTCAAATCCAGCTGTAATAGCGCCAAGTAAAACGCGCAGTTCTTCTGTGTGTACCAAACATAGCCTCCACCAGGTCTTTCTGCGGGAATACGGATCGTAGCATTCGGCAAAAAGGAGAGTAAAATTGGCTAGGCGAGTCAGTCCGCCGAATGTTGGTTCTGTGAAATTGTTCTATGCTAATTTTGTTAGCCTGGGTTCCAGACCCATAGCACAAAGGAGACAAATATCTCAGTGAGCCAGGCTCACTGAGATATTTTGTGTCCAGTGTGCTATGGGTCTGGAACCCAGGCTAAATTTTGTATGTATGATTATTGTATGCGCTATTGGGACCCCTGACCTCTCCCCTTGAACGCTTGAAAAGCGGTCACGGCCGACAGTGAAATTCAAGGTTAAATAAAGGTCGAGAATGAAGCGCGTAGTACTTCT